CTTTATGGCAGCGTGGATGTTCTCAGATCTTCACAGACTCCATTTGGGGACAAAGACTTTTGCTTTGGAGGCTTTAGAAGCTTTTCAAATTACCTACAAAGAGATGCACCATTCACCCCTTGGTAACTGTCAGTACTTCAGTTTCACTGCACTAGAGAAGTATTTCCTTACCCTTCAGACCTACCATCCCCCTTACAATTCTGAAATAAAATTTGTAAACCATAGTAACTACATAGAGACATAGGAGAAAGAAAAAGGAAAGTAATTTATGACAGGATATGTATTTCAACATGTAAATGATTAAATGAAATTGACACTCATACCTATTCATAGAATCACTGTGAATACAACAGCTAGAAATGCAGACTGATACCTGAATGTCATATTTGTGAATCTAATACCATGAATGGCTTGATTTTACTGAAATGGTGAGCATGTTCTAATAACATTTTTTTAAAAGTATGTTTCCTTGATTTTCCAATATATTGCAAAGCTGTGCAAAGTATCTTGTATTTACACCTCAAGTAGTATTGGGTTCTAGCCTCAGTGTTAGGTTGTAGTTTTGGGTAACAGCTTTTTTGAAAAGTCTGGTGAGATAAGGAATGTTCCTTTTTTTGCAGGAATGTCTATCATCCCTGGCCACCATTGTATCAACATAACAACAAAAAAAACTCTCACAAATTCCCAACACTCCCCCTAGGAGGTGGCACTGCTGCCTTGAGGACTGCTGTAATAAAAGAAGTATCCTGAGGATGGGCTAGCATAGCATCTGGGCTGTAAAAATGTAGGCTGGCCAACCCAGCAGGAGGGCCAGTTCCCCTAAAGTCTGCAGCTGGATTTTTTGCAAGGTTCTAAATAAATCAGGAATTTTGACTCCTCAGTCAACCCCATGGTAGGGCTTTTGTGTTCCCTGTTTCCAGCTAAAAGGCTGCTCTTGGCAAAGATGGACACGGATAGCATTGTGACATTGTTCTTGAGGTTCTCCAAGCATGGCTTCTTGGAAAATGTCCTCCAGGGTTCACCTCCACATCTGGGAGGTTCCCCATCTATGAGAAGGGCAAGACTTATGAAACCAGATCAACTGCTCACTCAGCAGATCTCAAATCCTGCTATGAGCTTGTAGCTGTCATGCCCGTGGGTTCACTGTACTTTCTGATCCCCAACTTAGCTCATCAGCTGTAATTCCTGCTCATTTCAATTTTGTGGGGGGTGAGAGGAGCTTTCAGTATTACCTAATCACATTCCCATATTTCTTGATGTCTCTGTCTCCATGTCCACCGTAAAAACAAACAAAAAACCTGCCTGGTATCTCTTCTGGCCTTGCTCACTTCTCTTCCACTGCCTCACTTTATTTTCTCCCCATGTAAATTTGCTAGTGTGCATAAAGAACAAATTAGTTGTCTTTTTTCTGCTTTATTTTCTTTGCTCTCCACACTAGACAGAGGTGACATCTGCACTGTAAATGTCTTTCAGATATAGGAAGATTTGAACTGAAGCAGAGCATCAACAGCAGTCAAGCTATTTCTGAAGAAATACAATTCTCAGGGTCAGCAATGGAAAATCTCATAGGAGTACTACTCGAGGTCCTACAAATGCAGAAGCCTATGGAACTGAGGGCCAGCTGTCAAGGAAAAAAACATGTCCTGCACTGAAGAAATCTTCTGAGAAAACAGCTGTCAGAAGATTGTCAGTGGCTCTCGAGGAGGTTATCACTGGGGAGAGAGGCCCAGCATCCAGTGAACTTAGTCTCAGATCAAAACTTAATACACAGCAAAAGATTCCAAAGGGACCTAGATTACCCACATCCAGGAAAAACTCCAAAGATAATTCAGACTTAATTAAACACCACAAAATCATCCCACAAAAGAAACCTTGTAAGTTCAATGAATGCAGGAAAGCCTTTAATTACCAATCAGAACTTTTTATCCACAGTAGAATTCATGGTGGAGAAAAACCTTTTGAATGCAAGCAATGTGGCAAAACTTTTAGCCGAAGTACACACCTGATTGAACATCAAAGAACTCACACTGGAGAGAAACCTTATGAATGCAGTGAGTGTGGGAAAGCTTTCAGCCGGAGCACCCACCTTGGTCTACATCAGAGGATCCACACTGGAGAAAAGCCGTATGAATGTAGTAAATGTGGAAAAACCTTCAGCCGAAGCACTAACCTTAGTCAACATCAGCGAACTCACACGCAAGAAAAACCTTACAAATGTAAAGAATGTGGGAAAGCCTTCAGCGACCGTTCAACCATAATTCAGCATGAACGAATACATACAGGAGAGAACCCCTATGAGTGCAGTGAATGTGGAAAAACTTTCAGCTGGGTCTCATCCCTCATTGAACATCAGAGAACACACACTGGAGAGAAACCCTATGAGTGCAGGGACTGTGGGAAGGTGTTCAGTCGAGGTTCATCCCTCACTGAACATCAGAGAGTCCACACTGGAGAAAAGCCGCATGCATGCAGAGAGTGTGGAAAGGGCTTCGGTCGGAGCTCTTCCCTTGCTATTCACCAGAGAACTCACACCGGAGAGAAGCCTTACAAGTGTAATGACTGTGGGGAAGCTTTCAGTCAGAGCTCAACACTTATCAGACATCAGCAGCTCCACACCAAAGAGTGACCTCTGAGCTTGTGTGAATGTTAGTGCACAAGCACTTTGCATAACTTCCTGCAGCTGAAAAGAAAAATAAATATGTGTTTGGATTTTCCTTTCCCAGTAGCTAGTGATAAGCCAGTTTCAAGTCAGCCTTCCTTTCTTTTTGTAAACTAAATGCTGAAATGAGTGATCCATACAATAAGGAGATGACTTCAACACCTAACATCAATCTAATAATATTCTGGAGGGCTCCAATCTTAGAGTGTACAGCTACCTGCCACCTTGCATTTCCATACCTTGTCTCTTCATTCCATGGGGCTTGGGTCCCTGGGCAGCCAGTGAACCCTGTTTTCCATCCACATCAGCCCCTTCTCTTCACATCACTCAGTGAGGAAATCCTGTGTGTGTATGTTCATGGTTTCTGGTGCCAGTTGCAGAAGAGGAGGAGCTGGCTTCAGATCAAGACAAAAAACTTCCCACCAGTTTGGGGGTAACAGTGTTGAGGCAAGCGCAGTCTCTGTACTAATAAGGGCAGATTTTTCTCTTCCTCATCTTTTTTTGCTGTAGCATATTTTTCTCAAGGTACAACCCACAGATCTCCTAATGTGCCTGATTAATCTGTGTTATTTTATCTGATCCTTACCAAGACTGTCCTAAAACTTTTTTTACAGACATTTAATTCCTCAGTTATTTGAAAAACCATTGCTGCCCCAGTGTTTAAGCTTTTGTTTACAGACTTCATGAAACTGATTCCCTCTGGCTCTGGCTCTCACCAACCTTATACAACTAAGGACAAACTTAGTGCTTATTTGTCCATTTTTTTCCTACTTGGCATTTGTAGAATTGGCACTTTTGGCCATTCTTATGTCTTAAAAGTTGAGCTTCTGGGACTCCTGATTCTGTCCTGATCCACACTTTTCCTACCTCCTAGCATTTGTCTGATTAACAATGATTAACTCATGACTTTGGGCAAGAGTTGTGCCGGAATAATCTCATTTTAGCAGGCTATAATATGAGGTTATTCAATTAGATTGTAAGCTCCTCAAAGACAAAAGTCTTGTTTGAGACCCCTACAAAACAGCGATTTTCAGCTGGTGTGCTGCAAGGAGTTTTAAAACATGCAATAATACCTGACTATTTAGTCAGGGGCAGTGTCTTTTTTCCCCTTAGATTGTCAAATAAAGAAATGACAATGACCAACACTAGAGAGCCCTAGAGAGCACTAGAGAGCAATGACAACACTGGAGAGTTGTTAATGAATAACAATTATACCTTTTTTTTTGATTGGCAAACATATTTTTGGCGTGCGACAAAATTTTAGTAATTTATGTGTACAAAGATCTCTGACACTTTCGGTCCGTCGCCTTCTCAGAAATCCTTGTCAGTGGCAGTTGGCATTATTCTGATTTGCACTCTGATGTTTGATTCTTTCAGGTGCCTTTTCCCATGATTTTTTTGAAGTTAGAATGCGTTCAATTTCGTAGCGGTCGCGCGGAACACATAATACACTGCAGGCCTGGGCTCTGGTTTTATACAAACCAGGAGGGTTTCATGTAATAGCGAAACCTCCTTAGTCTCTAGAATGGCCAGAGACCCTCCTCCACGTGCGGGTCCTTTCTGTCCCACCGACTGACGTCCTTGCCTCCGGGGACGGCTCCTCCGAGCCCCGGGGAGGCCGGCCGCCTCCGGGCTTCCCACCCCGCGGGGCCACGGGAACGGCGCCCAGCCGCCGAGAAGCCAGGAGGAGGTTCCTCCAGCCGCCAGCGCCGTCGCGCGCACGAGCGACTCACGACGGCCTGCGGGAGGTCCGACCGACGGCGGACACGTCCTCGTCGCAGCGGAATGAGGTGGAGGCCGGGACTTGCCCGCGGTCCGCCCTCCGGTCCCTCAGTCCGAGGGGCAACCGGCGACGGGCGTGCGCGGCCGCACTTCCTCGGAAAGCCGACCGACGTCCGTTCCCGGAGGAAAGCGGGGCTTTTCCCGCGGCGAGCGTTTCCGGTGCGGAGGTGGGGTCCGCGGGGAGCCGCGCGGGGCGGGGAGGCGGGGCGGGGCGGGGCGGCCAGCTGCGTTTGAGGAGGGAATCGGGCGACTCGCCTCACGCTGACGGGCGTCTTCGAGGCGACCCGCCTCGGCCGGCGTGTTGCGCGCCACGGTCCTCGCGTGGCCGCGGTGACCGCGCCGAAAAGCCGCCGGGCGGTCACTAGCAGCCCCCGAACCCCGCCCTTTCCGCCGGGGCGGGGGGGTGGGGGGTGGGGGGGGTGTCTGCGCTGAGGCGACCCCCGGCGGCAGGGCCCACCGCGGGACCGCTGCCGCTGCTTCTCTTCCAAATAACGTCTCGCTTTATTTTTTAAAAGATTTATTTATCTATTTCATTTGAGAGAGAAGGGAGGGGGAGAAACATGAGTGTGTGGTCGCCCCGGCTAACTGTGTGACGTCCGGCCCCGGCCCGCGGCGGCCCCGCGCGCGTGAGAACGCGGCTGACGCGCGAGTGGGCGCGGACTGCGGCCGCCCGGGACCGCGGCGCGGGCGCGGCGTCGCTTTGTCGAAAGGACCGTGGCCTCACAGTCGCTCATTCCTTCTGTGACGAAAACCGCTTGTGAGTGGTACCCGGCACCTGACTAGCGCGGACTAAACGATCGTATAATGGTTCTTGGTGCAGCAGTTTGGGGATCCGACTAAATTCAGTTTAATAGTTGGTTTTAAAAATTCTTGCTTGCTTTGCTTGCTGATCATTGTACTCATTTTTAAATCCCAGCTTTAGGCAATGGTTTGTGTTGAAATTCTGCTAGTGATTTTCTTTCCTTCCTGGTATGAAATTTATTGTTCTTACAAACCAGTTAGAGCATGTTGTATTTTAAAAATTTTAACAAGTTAAAAACAGAAAACAAATAGACGGTTATGAACCCTAGGTGTCTGAAACAGTGTAAACATGGACTTTTGAAGTTGCCGAGGCTTTGCCCTAATTCCTAGTTGATGGCTTTTCATGAGTTCTGGGAAGTGGAGGGGCAGCTGGTGATAATTTTTTTATACTCCATCAAAAACATATCTTCCTTTGTGAAATATTTTTATTTTTAGAGGGATGGGAAGGGAGGGAGAGAGGGACCGAAACATTGCCTCCTGTACACACCTGACCAGGGTCCAAACCCGAAACTCAGGCAGTGCCCTGACGGAGAATCGAACCAGGGGCCTTTCGCTTTGCAGTAGATGGGAGATGCCCCGACTGAGCCACACAGGTCAGGCACAGCCACCTCTCTTTCCTCCCACCTTTAGCCTTTACTCTCCCAACACATGCTGTCTTTTACAATTTGCCTGTGAGAGGAACTTGGAAAGACAGGGCCATCAGAGGTTGGTGAGATTTAAGAAAACGGCTGAAGGGCCATCAGGGCACCAGGACTATACCTTTTGAGGACTGAACAACAACTTTAATATAATTGGCCCAACACTTGCATTTTTTGGTAATTTAAACTATGAAGCTGTATACGAGGCAAGACTTGGCTCTCTGGGACTATGAAGCTGCCTGCAGGGCACAGACATCCTCCCTGCGCTGTGGGTCCCATCAACCCTGGCTCCCTGGGTTGAAATGGTTGACCAAATCTTTCCTGCAAATGTGAACTGAGACCTACACAATGATAAATGTTTAACCATATGTTACTTGTTACTGTCTCATAACCCCATTTGCTGACCACTGAGTCAGATGAACATTGAAGGTCCAGTTGCCTCCTGCAGTCAGAAAATTAATGACTTAATTTTTCTCTGGAACTTTTTAATACATTTTTAATAACTGTTTTGAAGTGTTTTTTAATCTCAAAAAATCATACAGTCAGTCAAATCTATTTTAAACTCGCTAAGAAATAACTGATAAAACATAATGTTTTCTTAGTAAAATGACAAATTTAAAACATGTAAAATTAGAGAATAGTATAATGAACTCCCATATGCCAATTGCCAGGATTTAACAACTATTAAAATTTTGCCACATTAGCTCTATTAGTCCTTTTTCTTCCTTTGGTTTATTCATTTGCTGAAATATTTTAAAAGAAGCTGAGACATCGTGTAATTTCATCCCTAGATAGTTCATTATGCATTTCTAAAAATCATGGCCTCTTTCTAACATAGATACTATCATACCTAACAAAATTACTTCTGTGGATACCCTTTATTTTATAGATGAAACACAAGTAGGAGTTAAAAAAATATTTTGATGCCTGTGTCCCACCCCTTAGGTCAATTAAATTAGTCTCTGGAGGTGGAACTTAGCAATAAAATGTTACAGTTCCCAAAGTGATTCCACCATGCAGCTAGAGTCAGGTAACACTGGTTTAAGCTGTAGAAGAGAATCTCTATAGTTGTAATAAACTAGAATGTTAAAATATACTAAAGAAAATAATAGGAAAGTTCAATACTTGTGCTTAAATACTTGAGCTGAAGGTAAGCCATTATATGCTACTGAATTATTAATGTAAGGGTATTTTATAGTTCTTTTTATTAGGAACCGGTTACTTAAACAGCTTAAATGCATTAGAACAGGAGCTTAATAGATCTCCAGTCTAGTTACTGAAGCATAAATGCTTCCTATTAGCAAAACATGCATAAATATATTTTAAATGCAACACAGCAAAATCTGATAGGTAGTAATCCTATGCAAGAATATATTATGAATAGACCGACCTCCAAACAACGTTTAAAATCATCTACTCCAAATCCCTCATTTCACAGAGAAAGTGAAGCTTTGGGTAGTTGAATTTTCCAATATTACAAAGTTGCTTAACATAGTTGATTACTTCAGCCCAATGCACTTCCCATTCCGTAGTGTGACAGTAAAAAGTTAAAATGATTTAAGCAGTTTCTCAAGTTATTCTGGTTCTTCAGTATTTAGCAAAAGGACAAAGTAGAGTAAATGCATCCCCTACATTTATGGTGCTCCTGAAACAGTCATATGCCAGGGTGCAGCCTCTGATGCTTGTTGAGAGCAGAACGATACCTGAAGGCTTTTCCACAGTCATTACATCCAAAAGGCTTCTCTCCTGAATGAACTCTCTGATGCTGAACAAGGTAAGTGCTCTGGCTGAACGTCTTCCTGCATTCATCACAGTTGTACAGCTTCTCCCCAGTGTGAGTGTTCTGATGCTCAGTCAGATGAGTGCTCCGGCTGAAGGCTTTGTCACATTCATTACACTTATACGGCTTCTCTCCAGTGTGAATTCTTTGATGCTGAGTCAGATGGGAACTCTGGCTAAAAGCCTTTTCACATTTATTACACTGGTATGGCTTTTCTTCTGTGTGAGTTTTTTGATGTTGAGCAAGAGATGAACAGTGTCGAAAGGCTTTGCCACACTCACCACACTCATAAGGCTTTGCTCCTGTGTGAATTCTCTTATGTTGTGTAAGGTGTATGTTCTGGTTGAAGGCTCTCCCACACTCATTACACTTGTAAGGTCTTTCTCCAGTATGTATTTTCCTGTGCTGAATAAGGGATGAGCCATAACTGAAGGTTTTCCCACATTCATGACACTGATAGGGTTTCTCGCCAGTATGAATTCTTTCATGTTTAGCAAGAGATGAACTCCGAATAAAGGCTTTCCCACATTCCTTACACTCGTAAGCTTTCTCTTGGGTATGCGTCTTCTGATGCTGATTAAGGTTTGAAAGGTAACTGAAAGCCTTCCCACAGTCACTGCATTCAAAGGGCTTTTCTCGGGTGTGAATTCTGCGATGCTGAGTAAGGGATGAGCAGTAACTGAAGGCCTTTCCGCATTCATTGCACTTGTAAGGTTTTTCTCCAGTATGAATTTTCAGATGTTGAGCCAGGGATGACCAGTAACTAAAGGATTTTCCACATTCAGCACAATCGTAAGGCTTCTCCCCAGTGTGAGTTTTCTGGTGTTGAGTGAGGTTGGAGTGCTGACTGAAGGCTTTTCCACATTCATTGCACTCGTACGGTTTTTCACCAGTGTGAATCATATGATGACGAATAAATGTTGAGGGCCCATTGAAGGCCTTCCCACATTCATTGCATTTGTAGGTTTTCTCACCAGTATGAATTTTTTGATGTTGAGTAAGGTGAGTGCTCCTGGTGAAGGTTTTATCACATTCATCACATTTAAAAGGTTTTTCCCCTGTATGAATTTTCTGATGTTCCATAAAGTGGCCTCTCTGGCTAAAGGCTTTTCCACATTCATTACAAGTATATGGTTTCTCACCAGTATGAATTCTCTGATGCTGAACAAGATGGGTCCTCTGACTAAAAGCTTTCCCACATTCATCACATTTATAGGGTTTTTCTCCAGTGTGAATTCTTTGATGTTGAGCAAGAGATGGACCCTCAATGAAGCCTTTTCCACACTGATCACATTTATATGGTTTATCTCCAGTATGAATTCTTTGATGGTTTATAAGGTTTTCACTCCTGCTGAAGGCTTTCTCGCATTCATTGCATTTGTAGGGTTTTTCTCCAGTATGTGTTCTCTGATGGCGAATAAGTGCTGAACAATAACTAAAAGCTTTCCCACATTCATTGCACTTACAAGATTTCTCTTTTTTAACTGGTTTTAAATTCCGTTTGATGCTTGTTTTAGTAGCCGTCTCTTCTGGAGATATGTCTTGTGTTACTGGGTTTAAACTAATATTGATACTTTTTTCAAAGACATGATTTACATGGTCTTTCTCCAAAGTGGGTATTGTTTTCTCAGTTATTTTTACTTCCCTTGGCAATGTAAGTTCATCTGCCTGCTGCCTCTGTGGACTGCCTTGAGACACCCAGGACTCTGAGACGTCATCACTTTTGCGTTTTTCCACTACTGCCTCTGGAGAGGGCTCTTCTTCAGGAGTGTCTGGCTCTGGGACAGATATGCTATTTTCTAGTTTTGCTTCCCAGTCTGAAAGAAAAAAATGCTGCCAGTATTCTGAATAGAGCAGGGAAACAACAACAACAACAACAACAACAAAAACCCAGAAGAAAAAAACCTGCTGTTCTGGGAATAACCTAATTAAATTAAATATAAAGCCCTCAGGAAATTCTGAGGATTTTGAAAAATAGCCCTATTATTTGGGGAGAAATTTGGAAGGAGCTAAGGAGAATGATAAATAAATAAAAGTTAAAAATAGTAAGAGAATATTTCATTCAACCCCATAGATCATCTCTAAGAACCAGTAAGGGAACTCCTTTTAAGGAAATAGTGAGTTTAACAAGTGACACAGAGATGGCTAAGAGAAGCCACACGTGGCCTGAGAGGAGGCAGTCTGAGCTGAGACTTCTGAGTGATGAAAAACACCACAAAAATCCAAGACCTCTGATTTCAATACAGAGTAAACAAGAAAGACCTGGCTACAGCTGCATGGTTTTTAGCCTGGAATACTGATGTCACAGTCATATCACTGCTAAAAATTGGAAAGGTATAAATAGTACAGGAAATCATTTAAGGGGAGAATTAGGAACAGAAAGGGAAACCATAGTGGTGTTTGTAGGGATGGCAGATGCCAAAAGTAGCAGAATAACCAAGATATTCAAATATAGGTTGGGAAGTATCAGCTCAAAAAAGAAAGGAAAAGAATAGCTAAAGGAATGCATGTGAGAAAGGAACAGAGGTGACTGTGTAGGGTAATGGGATGAATAAAATATAGCAATGAAAGGAGGCAGTTGATCAACAAACAAAACAATAGAAGAAACAAGACAAAAGCACATCATCAGGAAGCTGACTTACACTGCTCTAATCTACTTTCTACTCTGAGGAAGTTTGTCTCGTCCCAAGAAAAGAAAGGTGGCAAGGAAATGAAGCAGGGCAGCCAATGCTGGTAGATTCAGTAAAGAAAAAAGGCCAAGTTTAAAAACTGGTAACAGGAGGGTACAGCAGAACTCTGAGCCCCTGAGCTGCTGGCCCTGTCACTATTACTGTCGTCACTGCGACAGCAAGTGTGGCAGAGACCCAGCACTGCCATCTCCCAGCATACCTGGTGCCACAGGAGTGGTGAGCCTGTGGAAGAGCAGTCTGACACCACAGTGCTGCTCCAGCAAGGACAGAATATCTAAGCAACACAGTTTTGTGGAAACAGCCAATTGTTCAATATAAGAAATGATACTAAGAAAGATATATTTGTACAGTGGATGGCCACAAAGATGATGTCTTACAAGTACTTTGCAGTGAAAAACTGGAGACTCTGACATCTGAAGCTCTTAAAGGAGAAAAGGCAGAGGAAGCAGCTGATCTCCAGCCCTCACTGGAATTCCAGTTGAAGGCAATGAACATGCAACAGACTATGATCTTTGTCATCCACAGTGTCATGTATTCCACACACTAAGCAGCAGTTACCAGAATATCAGGGGTAGGCACAGAATGAAGGTCATTCTGGAGAAAGCCCCAGAAGGCAAGAATGAACAGCACCAGAGGGATTACACAAAGCATTCCCCACTTTACCACATGGGGAGCCTATGGGCATCAGCCAGTCTTCTAACAGCTCTGCACAGAGACAACCAGCTGCAAAGGAACTCCGTGAGCCAGTGAGACAGAAGACACATGAACATATGGACATGGCTCTGCAGGGGCCAGGTCACAAGACAGCCTGGAGAGGGTGTCAAGAAAGAGGGTAAGGAAAATGATGCAGACAGGGCCCAGGGCCAGTGCCTACCTCAGTGTCGGTACCGTCACAACCTCAGTTACCTGTACAGATGCCTACAGAACTATAACCACGTTGTAAAGATGAAAACAGCCAACTCACCAGCTAAGAATAAGTCTGCTCCCAGTGCTAAGGATGGCAGGACCAGGGCCTGGCTTACCAGAACTGTTAGCACCAGGTCACATTCCAGCAACAGAAAGTAAACAAGGGACTAGAACTAAACAGTTCAAGTGACTGTCTTCTGCCCACTGACCAGGTCACTGGAACTATTTACATTATCCATGCAACAGGAGTGTATTATTATTTTTACCTAACTGAATCTGTGTTTGGTAATGACTACAGCATTTAAAAAAAACTTAGGATTATTTCAATACCTTTTAGGTATTTTAAAACAGATTTCCATCTGCTCAAGTTGAGATTTTTAAAAAAATAATTTTTAATTCATAATAAAATATGACAACTCATTCTATCAAAAGTTAATAAGCAGAAGTTAATAAACCTCTTATTTTAGAAATATTAGTTTTCTAAATTATGTTTCATGAAACCACATTCGAAGAGAAAGGTGCAGGGTGAAAAAGGATTCATGGCTGGAGGAGGAGAAGAAGTGTTATATCCCAAGCAACCCTGCTAGAAATTCATAATGCCCAACTGTATATTTTAAAAATCAATGAGTGGTTCTTCCATAAGTAACTTGCTAAAATTTAAGCTAATCCAGCACTTCCCAAATTTGAACATTGCACACTTTTTTTTTCCATAAAAAAGAACCCCCACTCTCACCTAATTCATTCACCCTTGAGTGTTCTCCCTTACCTAGAGTAACTAAGGTTGTACATTTTTCCAGGATCTGGTCTTTGAAGAGGTCTTTCTGTGCAGTTTGGGAATTAATGCTTTACAAGAAAGTATTTACAATTTCAAGGATAGTCTGATAAGGTGACAAGATCAGAAGCTACATACTGAGGTTAAGAAAGGTATGTAACCACTTTTGCAAAGCATAGTTGGGAAAGCAAGGAGGCAATTTGGATAGTAACCAAATTACCAGCTTGGTGTGAAAGTGCTCGGATATTTAGGTTACCTGCTTCTGTTTGAAGGTACTAATGATAGAGCCTGTAGACCCAAAAAGAAAACTCTAAAGGCTGACAAGTGAGGCGATAATTATGAGCTAAGGTTCTCAAAAGAGGTGGGAAAAGATGGAATCCAGAGTCTAGGTCAAGAGGTTGCTTTTACAAAAAGGCAGAAAGGAGAGGAAAAGGCATAAAACTATACTTGAACAACAAAATTAAAAAAAAAAAAAGGCAGGAAGGATACCTTGTCTGAAAGGAGTATAAAAATAGAATATGTATCAAGACAGTTAGTGTTCTGACAAAGCATGGGGGAGTCCAGATCATCTCATTTTCCTATCAGCAGTAGGCACACGTACATTTCAGACAGGAAGCCCTTTCATCAGGCTGGTGTCTGAGTCAGTGACCCTCATCTCCCGGGCCCAAGACGTACCTCCAGATCCACCCACTGGAATGCCTGGCTCCATGATCCATGGCTCTGTCCCTTGCTCTAACTGGGAAATTACATCAGGTTTGGAAACTTGGAGTCCTGCACATGGAGAAGAAAAAAAAAAGGCACCTGTCTGCAGGAAGGGAAAAGTGCCCTATCGGAAGTCAGTTTCACCACTTTGTCTTCAGAGGAAAGGATAGGTAGGTCTGGTGGGAATGAACAGCATGTCAAGCTCCAATGTTACAAGTCCCCTGACATGATATAATTTGGGAACTGTTCTGGGTGCAGAAAAATTACTAGTCTGTATTACTTGCTAGGAGAGAGAAACCTTGTCAAAGCCTTTCAACATTTAGGAATTCTTGGATCCTTAAGTAAAGGGCAAAACTCCCTAAGCATGAGAAAACCCTCTTCCTCCTTTACACCCCTAGATATTAACTCAGAGAAGTCATCCTTACCTATAGAGACCAGGTGTGTATAATTTTCCAATGTCACATCCCTGAATAAATCTCTCTGTACAGGATCCAGCTGTTTCCATTCTTCCTGGGTAAAGTCCACTATTACATCCTTGAAGGTCACTGATTCCTGAAATACAAAACACGCTTCTGCTTAGCCACAAAGCCTATACCTAGGAAAGGGGAGGAGTCAGCAATATGGATAGTAAGGTGAACCATGGGCTAGCTGAAAAATGATATTTCCTCCTTTGTAAAATGAATATGAAAACAGAATCTGACTGATAGGATTATTGTAAAAGGTAAATAAGAAATGTTCCACATGAAGTGTCTAATTTAGAGTCTGGCACATAACAGGGGCTCAGTTACTCAGTGTTGGCCACTATTATTATTCATCATTATCAACTCCAAGCATTAATAGTAAATGTAGTAACACCAATATATTTTACTACCCCAAATGTGCAAAAATGACCAGGAATGTTTTTCAAAGAATTTGGAGAGAAGACTTGCTCTAACACATTTCAAAATACACCAAAATATACCGAACAATAAATATAAAATAAAACAGAGTGGCCTAGCCCTAGCTGGGTAGCTCAGTTGGTTGGAGTGTCATCCTATACATCTTGAACAAGCTCTAAAAACTAATGCTTAGTCACCAACTAATGATGTTATTGTGTGCCTGGAGCACCAGGGCAGGATGTACCAGAAGTCAGCACTGTTTAAAGTACACATGCAGACTGGTGATGCACGATGGTGTCTATTTGGGGTCTGCACCATGGCTGGTGTTTAACAACGTGATCCACCTCCTTTCAGAGCTGCAGACTCCAAGACTCAAGGAGGCTTCCCTGGGTAGAGACACTTCTCATGTCTCTGTGGATCACAGCTAGAGAGAAAGGGAAGATCTGGAAGCCTGTACCTAATTTCTGCACATTCCACTTATGCACATCTTTCCTTTTGACCCTGTTGTGTATCCTTTGTTGTAATAACTATTAGCCCTGAGTTATGCTACCAAGCTGGGTGAGTCATTCTAGAAAACCATTGAACTAAAGAGCGGTCATAGGCCCCCAAAACAGTCCTACAGTAAGGCTACACTAGTGCAGCCCTAACAAAGCTTAGACTTCAAAGATGTTTGTCCCTTGGCCCTGTAGCCAAGATGGGATTAACAAGGATTGGATTTACCCTCCTACATAAAATAACCAATACAATTCCAGACAAACAGAGCAGCAGTTTCTCAGACACTGAATCTGGGATGACAAAGAATGGTGGTTCCCAAAAATCAGGAAAGTGATTAGGTGAGCCCTCTGGTTGTTCTGGTTTACTGCCTGAGAGTCTCCAAGCAGTGAGTCAGGAATGAGGACCCGGGAGCCACCCAGCAGCTCTCTGAACTAGAGAGGTAACACAGAGTCTGGTGAAATCAGGGTGACTAGTATTCACAGGAGACAGCTACACAGAAAGGAAACAAGGAAAACTGAAGCCTAGTGCCAGTCAGCACGTGGGTGTGTTGAGACTATTGGAAGCAGGGAAAGAATCATCCAAAAGGACTCAAGGGAATAGTACTGGCACTCCAAAAGGGCTGGAAAGAATCTTTGAACCCATTACTCTGGGAACCCATTAGTCAAAATGGAAAACTTCATAATTGGGAATTGGGTAGACTTGCCTCACTTTGGGTAATAAATGGCATTAAACTAAATGCTGTTCTGGGTTCACCTAATAAATATTAAAGGCAGGATCTGAAAGAAACATACTGTTTTCAAGTAACAATTGCATTCTAGAAAAAAGATCAAGAATGCTTTTTAGAAAAAAAAGTATGCATAACTCTATACAGTAAAATTCACGGTGTTTGGAATTCAGTCAAAGATTAACAAGCATGCAGAACAGCATGAAAATAAAACCTATAAGGAGGAAACAAATCAGTCAATTAAACCTAACCCAGAACTGACACAGATACTAGAATAATCAGTTAAGAATATCAAACATTATAACTGTGTTCCATGTTTAAAAAGTAGAGACATGAAAGACATTTTTAAAAATTGACATGGAAATTATAGAGCTGAAAATTAAATGAAAAATATATTAGGTGGTACTAACAGATTAGACATTGAAGAAGAAAAGATTAACACATTCAAAGACATGGAAATAGAAACTATTGGGTTGGACAAAAAATTCATTTAGTTTTCTCTGTATGATGATTCTAGTAGGGCCTGGCTATCTTTAACTTCATTCAAAACCATTGTGTTGGATTGTATTGTGACAGCTGTCAATATCAGCATGCATTAAGAAAAACTTATCAAAATTGGTACATTTTTGTGCAGCCATTTTACTATGGAAGATGGAAGAAAATACAAAGCATTTATAGTGTATTATGCTTTATTATTTCACAAAAGGTAAAAATGTAACTGAAATGCAAAAAAAGACTTGTACAGTATATGGAGAAGGTGCTAAGACTGGTCAAAAGTGGTTTGCAAAGTTTCTTGGTACTACTGACATTCTGGCCAAAGAATTCTTTACTGTGGGGCTGTCTTATGCATTGGAAGATGTTTAGCAGCACCCCTGGCCTCTACCCTCTAGAAGCCAATAGCGGGAGATAGCCAACATACTTAAAATATCCAAATCAATAGTTATTGGTGAAAATGAAATAAAGTATCTTTTATTTTATGGAAAAAAAACTAAATGGATTTTGTGGCTAACCCCATATCAAAAATGAAACAGATAAGAAAAAAAGATTTTTAAAGAGATAGCATCAGGGAGCTATGGGACTTCAAGAGGCTCAATATATGTGCAACTGGCATCCCTGGACCAAAAGGAGAAAAAGAGAGAGAGGAGAAGAAAAAATATTTGAAGAAATAATAGGTCATTATTTTTAAAACTTGATGAAAATTATAAACCTACAGGTCCAAGAAATTCAAACTGCAAGCATAGGAAACACAAAGAAAACTATACCAAGGTATATCTTAAATATGCTAGCTCAGATCTAGTAATAGAGAAAAAGCTTACAAACATCCAAAGACAAAAGGGTATAAATATAAAAGAACAATGATAAAAATGTCAGATTTGTTTTTATTGGAAAACACAGAAGCAAGAAGAGAATGGAGCAATATCACTGAATACTAAAAAGAAACTGGAATTGAAAAACAAAAGCAAAATAAAGACTTTCAGACATAAAAAACTTGAAATATTTCATCACCAGCAGAATGCACTATAAAAAAACTTAAGGAAGTCCTTCATGCAGAAAAAAGATACCAAATGAAAATGAGGATCTACACCAGGTTTCTCAACCTTGGCACTATTGATACTTCAGAGCAGAGCATTATTTCAAATGATTGTGAGGGGCTGCCATGTGTAATGTAGGCAGTATTGCTGGCATCGTACCCATTCACTGTATGCTCCTGTCACTCCTCACCAAGTCATGACAATCAAAAAGGGCCCCAAGGGCAGAAACACCTCCAGCTGTGAATCACTGATGTATATAAAGGATAAAGAACACCAGAAATAGTAACCAAATGGGCAAATGCATACAATTTTTCCTCATCATTTAGATTCCTTTCAAAGATAATTGCTGAAACAAAAGTAACAAGTATTATGGGATTTATGTCAAGTATATAAGTAAAATATATGGCAATAGTAGCATTAAAAAGTGGAGGGAAGAAATGGATGCATACTGTTGTGAGGTTCTTGTATTATTCATGAGGTGGTATACCACCAGAAGGTAAATGGCAATAAATATGTATATCTAAAGCTACAATTAAAATAACAAGAGTTATGGCTAATAAGCCAATGAAAACAATAAAAGGGAATCCCAAAAAGTATTCAGTCCAAAAGAAGGAAAGAATTGAGGCAAAGGAAATAGTCAATAAAAATAGAAAACAGCAAGATTACTGACAAATGGCATGTATCAATGAACACATTGAACTTGAATGTACCATATTAAATGTAGAATCACATTAAATGTAAATGCTCTCAACACCCCAATTAAAAGGCAGAGACTGCCAGATTGGACTGATAAAAAGTAAAACCTAACTACATGTTTGTTGCCTATAAATAAGTACTCACTTTAAGTATAAAGAAGTCAGTTAAAAGCAAAAGGATGGAAAAAGATAAACCATGGTGACACTAATCAAATATCAAAGTAAAATTCAAGGCAAACACTATTACCGGGTAGAAAAGAGTCATTTCCCAATGATAAGGGGTCAGTTGATTAAGAGGACATAATCCTAAATGTTTATGCACCTAATAACAGAGCTTCAAAATAAATGAAGCAAAAACTGATAGAATTACAAGAAAAGAAGGACATCCACATAATTATAGCCAAAAATGTCAATATGTCTATCACAATCGTTGATAAAACCAGTCGACAGAAAATCAATAAACATATAAAGCACTTGAATGATAGTGCTTTATCAACAAACTTGACCAACTGACACCTATGGTATACAGAATAATGGCCCTCCCAAAGACGTCCATATTCTAATCCTTGAAACCTGTGAAACTGTACCTAATATGGCAGGAGAGTTTACAGATGTGATCCATTAAGGACTTTGAGATAAGGGAATTATCCTTGAGTATATGTGTGGGCCCAATATAATGACAGAGTCCTTAGAAGGGGGAGGCACGAAGGTCAGAACAGAGTCAGAGCAGAAGCTGTGAAGAGGGAAAATAAGCCAGAGTCAGAGAAAGAGGGAACTGAAGGTGCCACACTGATGACTTGATGACAGAGAAAGGGGACACAAATCAAAGAATATAGGTGCCCTCTAGACGCTAGAAGAGGCAAGAGAACAGAGTCTGCCTCAGAGCCTTCAGAGGAATGCAGCCTGCCAACCCATTCTGACCTCTAAAATCGTAAGATAATAAATATGTTGTTTTAAGACACTAAGCCTGTGGTAGTTAATTACAGAAGCAATAGAAATATAATACATTCGTACAACATTTCACTCAACAACAGTGAAAATACATTCTTTTCAAGTGCTCAATGATCATTTACCAAGGCAGGCCATATTCTGGACAAAAGAATGTCTCAATAAATTGAAAATGATTCAAGTCATACAGAGGATATTCCCTGACCATGAATATGTCCACTATCTTGATTGTGATGCTGTCATAAGTGTACATATGTCAAAACCTAAAACATTATACACTTTAAATTTCCCTCAATAAAAATAAACTGATATCAAAAGTACTTGAGCTGATAATCGGAAGAACTGGGATCAGATAATTAAGTTGCAGGACAGGACCTAAGTAGGGGGAAACAGCCGAAAAAGAAGTATCCTGAAATGGCCAAAAAACATGTGAAAAGCTGCTCAACATCACTGATTATCTGAGAAATACAAAGTAAAACCACTATGAGCTATCACCTAATACCTGTCAGAATGGCTACTATCAATAAGTCAACAAACACCAAGTACTAGTGAGGATGTGGAGGAAAGAAAACCCTTTTGCACTGTTGGTGGGAATGTAGACTGGTTCCAGTATGAAGTTACCTCAAAAAATTAAAAATGGATCTGCCTTCTGACCCAGCAATCCCACTACCTGTAATATATCAGAAGACACACTAATTTGAAAGAAAACTGCAGCATTATTTACAATCATCAAGATATGTATGCAGCTCAAGGAGATGAGTGCATAAAATAGCTATGGTACATGTACATACTGGAATGCAACTCAGCCGTAAAAAAGAAAATTTTACCCTTTGTGACCGCATGGATGGACCTAGAGAACATTACCCTAAGTGCAATAAGCCAATCAGAGAAAAACAAATACCATATGATTTCACTTATATGTGGAATCTAATGAGCAAACTGAAGCAATAAGCAAAATAGAGACAGACTCATAGATGGAGAATGGACATGAAAAACAATGTGGTGAATGCTGGGGAAAGAGGGTTATAAGGTAATGGAAAAAATACAATAAAGAAAGTAAGTATCTTGATTAAAGGAGGGCTTGGATCAATTAAACTGTAACCCTTTTTGTCTTAAGTTCACATTCAGTTATTGGTTTGTCTTAAAACATTAAGTAACATGTCACCTGCCTCCTCAAAACCCATTAACCGTTCACAAATAGTCTACAGAATAATGCCTTCAACTTATCTAGATATTCAAGACCTTTCATATTCTGACTTTATTCTACCAGTTGTTTACCGTCTGCCAAAATAAACCATCTTCTCCAAATTTTTCTGAATCCTGTACAACACCTGCTAATTCTTCTATGTTAACCTTTGCTCATAATTTTTTTCCATACCTGGAATCCACCCTAACCCTCTCAATTTTACTAATCAAATATCCATCCTTTGAGAGGTAGTGAAAAATCCCACATCCTCTGTGAAACTCTCCTAACCTCTCCAGAGCACAATTTTTGCCATTCTCTATTTTCCATGGCACTCATTTCACCTTTTTAATATTTACTTCCCAACCCAGAACATGGCAAGATACTAAGCAAGAGGTAAGTGGTGAATGCATTAGTTAAGCTGCAGAGGCAGAACTAAGAAGAATGTCAGATGGGAGCCCAGAATGAAATGCCAACATTGTTTTTGTATAAACATATCCCACAAAAAGAATATACAACCCCACTCTATGGGCTGAAATGGCACTGCAGGAAATCCCAACTTACCTGAACACGGGCTGATGGGAGCAGAGTATGTCCCCCTTGGAGAAGGGCAGAAACTGCAGAGGACAGACCTAGGGAGGAAGAAGGAACCACAGTGAGACCTGTCCAACAAAGCTGCTCACAGCAATTGGTAAGATCCACTTATTTTTTCTATTTGAAAACAACAGGCACTTTGCCATTTCCTTTAATTCACAGAATCCAAAACAGAATCAAGGTAACTGCTGACTGAGCGCTGATAGTCTCATTGTAGGTTCAGAAGGTACATCAATGTTTTATTTTTATTTTTTTTAAGATTTATTTATTTATTTTTAGAGAGGGAAAGCGGGGAGAAAGAGAGGGATAAAAACATCAAATGTGTGGTTGCCTCTCGTGCACCCCCTATTGGGGACCTGGCCTGCAGCCCAGGCATGTGCCCTGACTGGGAATTGAACCGGTGACCTTTCTACTTGCAGGCCAGCACTTAATCCACTGAGCCATACCAGCCAGGGCTAAATCAATGCTTTAACATTCACAATTTTTGTCTCTAGATACATACAATCACACAATTCAAACTATGTTTTTATTGAGGCAAAATATTTCTGTTACCTCCTCTGTTACACAGAAAATACAAATCAGACTACTTTCCAAAAGTCTCCACAGGCCTTTTGAAACTTTGCTAGTGCTGCAAATTAATTATCACAATGATATATACTACTTATACTACCTACAAGAATACCTAAAATTAAATAGCCATGGTCAATCCAACTGCTGGCAAGAATGCAGAGAAATACAATGGATTGTAATTGAAGAGTCATACATCAATACATTGGATAACCTAGAAAAAATGGATAAATTCCCAGAAACATACAACCTACTGAGACTGAATCACGAAGAAACGGAACAATAAGGAATAAGGAGAATGAATAGTAATCAAAGGCCTCCAACAAAGACAAACCCTGAACCAGATGGTTTCACTGGTGAACTCCACAAAACATTGCAAGAATGCCAGTCCTTCTCAAGCTCTTCCAAAAATCCGAAGAGGAGGGAACACTCCCACACTCATTTTACACAGCCAGCATTACCATGATACCAAGCCAAATAAGAACACTACAAGGAAAGAAAACTACTAACCAATATCCCTGGTGAACACAGACGCAAAAAATCCTCAACAAAACTTTAGCAAGCTGAATTCAATAGCACGTTAAATGGATCACACATCATGACCAAGTGGGATTTATTCCTGGGGTGTAAGGATGGTTCAACATACCCAAATTAATAAATGTGGAACACCACATTAACAAAATCAAAGATAAAGTTCATGTGACTATCTCATAGAAATGTAGAAAAAGCATTTGATAAAATTCAACATCCTTTCATTAAAAATTTTTTTAGCCCTGGCTGGCGTAGCTCAGTGGATTGAGCGCGGGCTGGGAACCAAAGTGTCCCAGGTTCGATTCCCAGCCAGGGTACATTCCTGGGTTGCAGGCCATAAACCCCAGCAACCGCACATCGATGTTTCTCTCTCTCTCTCTCTATCGCCCTCCCTTCCCTCTCTAAAAATAAATAAATAAAATATTAAAAAAAAATTTTTTTTAACAAATTGGTGTAGAAGGAATGTACCTCAGCATCATATACCATATATGACAAGCCCATAGCTAATATACTCAATGATGTAAGTCAGAAAGCTTTTCCTCCAAGCAAGAGGAAGGCACCACTCTCATTGTCTAATCACCATAGTAATAGAATTCCTAGCCAGAACAGTTAGGCAAGAAAAATAAATAAAAGGCACCCAAATTAGAAGGGAAGAAGTATAATTGTTTCTGTTTGTAGGTAACTATATAGAAAGTCCTAAGGACTCCACCCAAAAATAAACTTAGAACTAATAACAAATTCAGTAAAGTTGCAGAAAACAGAGAAGTCAGTGGTATTTCTATACACTAACAAGGAAATATTTGCAAAGTAGATAAGACAATCCCATTTAGAATAGCATCCAAACCAATAAAACACTTAGGAAAAAATTTAACCAAGGAGGTGAAAGATCTGTACACTGAAAACTATTCGATGATGATGAAAGAAATTGAAGATACAAATAAATTTAAAGATATTCTGTACTTATAGATCAGACCAAGTATATTAAAATGTCAATATTACTCAAAGCCAGCTATAGATTTAATGTAATCCCTACCAAAATTCCAATGGCATTTTTAAAAAAATAGAAAAAAAATCCTAAAATTCATATAGAATCATAGAAGACCTCAAAATAGTAAAGCAGTCTTGAGAAAAAACAAAACTGAAGGCATCACACTTTTTTATTACAAACTACACTACAGAGCCACCCTAATCAAAACAGTATGGTAGTATTATAAAAACAGAGAGAATCATGAGCCCAGAAATAAATCCTTTTAAATATGGTCCACTAATACTTGACAAGAGAGTCAAGAATAACCAATGGGTAAGGACAGTTTCTTCAATAAATTGTGTTGGGAAGACTGGATAATCACACGCAGATGAATTGAATTAAACCCCTATTTTTATATCAGCCATGAAAATTGACTTGAAATGAATTAAACACTTGAACAAGACCTAAAACTGTTAAACTCCAAGAAGAAAACCTACGGAAAAAGTTCCTTGACATTGATCTTTGCAATGATGTTTTTTGATATGACACAAAAAAGCACAAGCAACAAAAGCAATAATCAACAAGTGTGTCTACATCAGACTGAAAGCTTCAACACAGGAAAAGAAACCATCAACAAAATGAAAAGGCAATGTATGGGAGAAAATATTTGCAAGTCATATATCTCATAAGGTGTTGATATCCAAAATATATAGGGAACTCAACAAATAATCTACTTAAAAAATGTACAGGGTACCTGCACAGTTATTTTTCCAAAGAAGACATACCTGGGACCTGAAAGGCCAACAGGTACCTGGAAAGGTACTCAGCAGCACTAATCCTCAGGAAAATGCAAATTAAAACCACAGTGAGTTGCCAACTCAGACCTGTTAGAATGAATATTATCAAAAAGATAGGATCTAACTGATTGGTAGGATGTGAAGAAAAGGGAACCAATATACAAGTCTGGCACAAACAATGCCCCCTTTTTATGAGTTGGTTATCTATACCAAAACTTTTATTACAAAATCATAAGCATGTAATTCTGGAATGTGACAATATCACACTCAAGCACACCATATGACATTTTAGGTGAACTGTTCAAATTGCTGCCCATCTCATGGGAGACATTCACGTACCCAACAAGCAACACTCAATGGCGTTTCTTCTGTCGGACCCTGTATATTGTTGGTGCGAAAGTAAATTGGTATAGCAACTATGGAAATATATATACCACATTTTCTTAATCTCTTCATCCATTGATGGATGCTTAGGCCGCTTCTGTGTGTTGGTTATTGTAAATAATGCTGCAATGAGCTGGGCTGGGTTGGGGGGGATGCAGATATCTTTCTGAGATAGCAATTTCATTCCCTTTGGATAAATACCCAGACATGGGATTGCTGGATCAGATGGTAGTTCTATTTTTAATTTCTTAAGGAACCTCTATATTGTTTTCGATGCTGGGGATACCACTTTACAGTCACATCAACAGTGGGAACAGGTGTACATATGTATACATACAGCCACAAAATAGAATTTCAGTCATAAAATAGAAGGAAACCCTGTCACTGGTAACACTGATGGACCCTGAAGGCATTATGTGAAATGAAATAAGGAGGGAAGACAAATACTCCAAGATCCCACATGAGGAATCTAAAAAAGCTCAACACATGGAAACAAAGAGTAGAATGGTGGTTTCCAGGGGCCAGAATAGGGGTGTATGTGGGGGGAGATGTTGGTCAAAGGGTACAAACTTCCAGTTACAAATTAATTCTGGGGATCTAATGTACAGCACAGTGACTGTAGTTAATGATACTACATTACATACTTAAAGCTGCTAAGAGAGCTAATCTTAAATGTTCTCACCACACAAACACACAAAAGGCAAGTATGTGAGATGACATATGAGTTAATTAGCCTTATTGTAATCATTTTGCAATATACAGGTGTATCAAATCATCCCATTGGACTACTTAAACTTACACAATATTATGGGTCAACTATATCTCAGTAAAGCTGGAAAAAATTTTCAGCAATATTTTGTAGCTTTCAGTGTACAGATCTTCAACATTTTTGTTAGATATGTTCCTATTTCATATTTTGGGTGCTATTATAAATGAAATTATTATGATTTCCAATTGTTCATTAGTAATATAGTGGGGAACAGTTGATTTTTAATTACACATTTTTTGAGATAATTGTAGATACACATGCAGATCTAAGAAACAAAACCGATTCTTTGTACCCTTTAAAAAATAGAACTGAGACAAATATAAGGTATAGCTCAACATACATAATATAAATAATATTAAGACTTCTAGTGATATTAAAGAAATGCAAGGAAAAAAACTGTATCATAATAGGTTAAACCAAACCTGACTGCATAGCCATACCTAAAGAAGGTAAAGACAGTGACGATGCAGTGGAAAATCTAAAAGGACATGTCACAAGGCTTTCCTTACCCTGATCTGTTCAATGACATGTAGGAAGAAATACAAGGAATACTCATTAAACACGCTAGTTACATAAAGTTGGAAAAGATAATTAAAACAATGAATAACTAAATTAAGTATTCTGACAAGCTGGAGCTCTTGGCCAAAATAGTGAACAATCATAAATGTGAAGTCCTGACATTAAGGATAAAAAATTCTATTAACCAAAGATGGCAAGAATCTAGTTCACTGCAATTTACGAAAAAAGAAAAGATCTAGGGTTTACATCCTAATATTGCTAATTTTTTAAAAGCAAATACAATCTGATACTAAACAGCAGAAGTATAATACAAATTGTAAGTAGTTAGTACACCATACTTTTCTAAAGGCATCTTTCAAAGCACATCACTGAATTATGTTTAGTTTTTAAGAAGCATGCTGTCATGCAACAGTTTTCAGAGAAGAGGTCTCAATACATCACATGGACGCGCATCAAGGGAACTGAGGTTAATTTGCTTAGAAAAGAATTTGTGAATAGGAGTTGTAACAGCTGATTTGACATATCTGAAGGGCAGCAGTGTGAGAGCAAGAACAATTTTTTTTGCTTTTGGGGACTAAGAACTAAGATCAATGCAGAAGTTAAAGAACAGGCACTTCTGTGTAATATAAGGAACTAAAAAAAGTCACAAGGGAAAAGTCTGCTCACAGAATGGAAAGTTCAATGCCACACTTGTTCAGGCAGAGGCATAACAGACAGCCATCTCCCAGAAATTTTTAAAAAACTGATTCTGGCATTGAAGGGATGATTACCAAGATTTTTTTTTTTTCTGACTGCAAGATTATCGTTCTGATATTTAAAAAAACATAAGTCACATGAGGATCACAGACATTCTGAATCATTGCTCCTTTTCATTCCAGGGAGAGTTAACTCTTCCTCCAAGTCTCTCCCTGTAATGTAATTCGCTCTCTTTTGTTGGTCCTTAACTATAAGGTTTCCTCCTTCCACCTCTTCCGGCTGTCAAGTATTTGATCTTCAAATTACACTGTTCTTTTGCCTCCATCATCGCGCTCTCCCCACAGTCGTCCCCACTACCTTCCATCTCAGGAGCTCATCCCGTTCCTCTGGAACCTGGTCACCAGGGTTTCCCAAGCAGCGTCCCTCCAGCTGGGTCCTCCGTCTGGGGCTGAGGTGTCCAGGCAAGGACTCTGAGCCTTAACACAGGGTGAGGATGGCTGACCTAAAAGACACAGGATGGGTCAGCAGCATGCGTCGCGATCAAACCACAGAGTTTTGCGTGGTGGCCAGGAGCCTCTTGGGAAAGAGAAGTGCCCGGAGAGAGCACTAATGGGCAAGAGGCACTCCCGCTGAAAAAAACAAGTGGAGCTGGAGTGAAGGTTCGGCCCGGATTAAGAAAACCCTTGGTGCCCCCGCCCCCCGCCCTAGAATAAGGCCAGAGACATCCACAAGACCGCCAGTTACCTCCGCACAGGCTTGAGGGCAGGGATTTGGGAACACACACCTGTTGCGGGGGCGGAAAGCTGGAAGGTGGCCGAGCGGGGCGTGGCCCAGCTCCGGTCCTTCCTCCGAGAGCGGAACAAAAGAACAAAGCGCTCTACTGGATCAGGGCGGAACCGCCCGCGCTGAAGGCGGCTAGGGGCGCCCCCTTCCAGGACTCCCCCTCTCCCTCCCGCAGAGGCCGTTCCCAGCAGGGCGAGGAGGGTGACGTCACGCGACCGGAGGGCAGGCGGTTGCCATGGTGATACCTGGGCTCCCCACCCCCCTCGGCGATTCACACGCTCCGATCGTGCGTCCGGAAACTCCGGGACCGTCACCAAATCTAGGGAAAGGAGCCCCAGCGGCCGAACTTCCCAAGCACCAAACTGTTTCCCCGCCTACAGTGGCTTCAACGGCCACTTCCGGTCGCGAGCAGAGAGCCCCGCCCCCTTCCGCGGGTGCACGCAGAACTACGATTCCCAGAATGCTTCACACGCTGAACTTCACTTCCCAGAGGCCTCCGCCACCTTTGTAACTCCCTCCTGCGGGCCTGGAAGGTCTATCCGCCTTTGGTTCAGGCCTGAACCGCTCAGGTGGAGGTGTGGTTTGGAGAGGTGACTGTGTAGCTTGTGTGACTGGACAAATCGTTAGAAATACACATTTTCACACATATAATTGTAAAAGGCAAACAAGCATTACCCCATGCAGTGCTTACCTTTATGACCTATCCAACACTTGATTCAGTGTTGGGTTTAATTCCTTTGATTAAAAATACTGGCCGTGACCCACTGTATTGCTTTTATGACTCCCAAATGGGTCATAACCCACATTTGAAGAAATGCTGAAGGAATCGGGAAGTGGCATCACCATGTTTTGCTCGACTGCAGAGCTGTGTACGCCTGCGTTCGCCAGCCTGTAGATGTGAATGAGCCCAATGCCAGTCTCCCGGTGTGTCCTTAGCAGGAAAGAATCCAGCAGAAGTTTGTAGGTTTTTCTATTTTTAAATATGTGGCCCACGCATTTTACTGTGCTTCTCTATGTCCCCAGCATTTGGACGGGGGCTAAGATCAAGTCGTTCAACCTGTTTGTTGGAAATCCTAATATTGAGTATGTGAAAACAAAGTTGCGTGCCGTCAAAGGAAAAGGAACGATATCTAGAAATCTCTTAAGAGCAGATTTCCGGAAAGAACTATAGGAACTAGAAATTTTAAAGAAACAATTTGGTATTCTCAGTGGATTGCAAGGAAACGCAGCCTAAAGGAAACATGAGAGAAAGCTGTGAGAGAACACGTTGAAATAAAAAGATACTTTTTATTGAGAAGGGATAAAGACATACAGCAAACATATTTAAAATTCAGCAACATATAGTTATACTAGAGAAGAATTGAAATGATGTGGTGGCAAAGTGAATCAGTTATGTATAGGGCATTCTTCTAAAGCTCCTTCATGATTCAAAGGAAGCTTGATGAATAGATATAAAGAACAGGAAAGAAAGACAGTATGTGGGTAATTGACCTTCAGAGAGGTGAGACCGCATGAAATCAGCTATCATTTAACACTCTGTGTGTGCCAGGCAGTGTTTCAGGCATTATATCTATTTATTCATATCTTGGAACAACCTAATCAAGTTATTTCTGTATTATCGTTCCTACTTTACAACAAAAGAAAATGGGGCACAGATAAATTGAATAATCTGCCCAGGGTCACATAACCAGGCAATGGGGAAGAGAGG